GGTTACAGAGTGTAATTATTGCAGTTTCACCAGTTCTTTTTCTGTAGCCATTCTTATGTGCCCTGCTTTTGTCTCCAGATCATCAAAGCGTCTGCATGTTGTTATGAATAATTCAGAAGAGATACAGATTTATAACACTATCTGCTTATAAATCATGCATGCCAGAATATTAATCACACCCATGCCCTGGGCAGAGGAACAAGTTTAATCACCTTTTATCTGGCTGGTGTCTGTCACAGGCAGATTACTCAGAAGTGCATGGTGGGTAACCTGTGCTACAGCAGCAGAGCATGGTTGATTTTCCAAGGCACGCGTTATTACTCAGGAAGGTTGTGTAAATCCTATGGCCATACTGATCCCTCTGCTTAAAGCCATTTCACAGAGTACACGCAAGCTGCATTCGTTTAATGTGATGTTACTTAGCAAAAGTTAAGAAAACTGGGGGAGGATACATGACTGTAATTTGCCAGTCAGAGGGGATTTCATGGATCCCTCAGCCGCAACAGAAAGTGAAAACACGTCTTTTAGGCAAATGGCACTGTCAGTTTTGCCTCTGAGAGAAATTAGGAAGAGGACTGTGTCACTGCAAGATATATTTTGAAAAATGGTAGTTTTATGCACAGTACTAAATATTTCTAATTATTTTACTTTCTTTTTCTAAAGGCTCATACCTAATTCCTTCTTCTACAATTGAACCAACCAGTTGTGCAAACCTAGGAAGCCTTTGCCAAGGTAAGAAGTCCAGGTCATTTTTACAGTTTCATCTTTGGGAAATCTTTCTTTTCCTTGGGTTTTTTATTCCATTTCTTTTTTATTATTATTTCTAAAAGGGTGAACTGCAATAAAAAATAGCAGGAAAAGGAATTCTTTAGTCTCATCAAATGTGTGGGTGTCCTGTACATACAATATGTGGAAAAAATGTGATCACGCCCTTGATAATACATTTTCCATATAGTCTTCATTTTATCAAAAATGAATTAATTAACTGCTTTCATTTCTTTCTCCATCTCTTTTTCTCCTGGGCGTTTTGACAGTAAAATATTAACCAGGATAAGAAGTGAGTACATCTGTAAATAAAAAATGAGCAGAGGTAAATAAAAGAACTGTTACTCATTTTTTCCCAATAAGCTATTTTGAGGCTAGATACTGAGATTAGCAGGTAAAAATTTAACATCAAACTGTAAAATCCAGTAGCTATTAGTTAATTAAACACTTGTTACAGAACTTAGTGATGGTTTAATACTGTAAAAATCACCACATATAAGAATTCGTTAGGTGTCTTTAAAGGTCAGCTCAGTTGAATGCAAGGAATAGGTGAACCCTAAGGATTTTCATGCCATGCAAATCATTGGACATGCAAGGAGAGTTAATTCATTTTGCTCTGCTTAGAGGCTGAAGTTCTATAAAAATGCACAACATGAACATCAGCCCGTTTCCACATTACTCTCATGAACACAGACCGGCTAATGAGGTGGCATGCCGTGTTAAACTTAAATCGCAGCAGCAGCAGCTGCACCAAAACTAATGTCCAGCTCTATAACCCTTCCCAGGCTGAATGATGGAAGAAGGAGACAGAGAGAATAGAATAGAAAAGGGGAGGAGGAGCTCTTTCAAAACTGACAAGGAAATCAGATGTAGCTTGAAAATAAAAAGGAAAATGCACTCTGCTTGGAAAACCGGTCTTCAATATACTTTTCATCCATTTTCCTGGGGTAAATTTGGTCCAGGTTCTTGGAGCATATTGTACTTGTCTGCATAGGGAAAGTGGAATGACAGTTATGTCCGTAATCAGATTTCAAACAGTAATTTTCAGGCGTCATATTCACGAAGCACAATATGATCCAGATGCTACTACTTGAATACCTTAGATAAATGTGACAGCAACAATTATTCAGTATTAGCCTTTTTATATGTAAAGGGTAATACAGCCACCATATAAAGAATTTTATGTATTCGCTTAGAAGAACGTTTTCCTCTATCAAAATGGCACGGTGTGAAAGGACAGAGAGTATCTTTCTTTAGGTCAGCTAATATGGCTGCAGAAATGGACACACTTTCAGCAAAACAAGTCTGCTTTTCTAAAAGCCTTATCCTTTTTTCCAGCTTTATTAACTTGTCTAGTAGAAGATATTGCCTCTACTAAAAGGTACTACCTTTCAAATTTGCCTCTCTTAACTTCTTAGACCATCACATCTTCAATACAGACCATGAGTACTTTCACAAAGGTAATACTCTTTCCTTCTGTGAAAAGTGTTTGGTAAATTGTCACTGGTGTTCTGTTTGTCACTTTGGAAGTGGCAGATCAGATTTACCCTGTTCATCATCATCATCTTTATTGTCTTTCTGTCTATTTCTGTCAGTACTGCAGACTTATTTTAAACTGAGAGGCCAGTTTGGATTCTGTTTTTGTTTGTTGTGTGTTGTGCAATAACACCCGTAACAAAGTTTGTGGATGCCAGATTATGTCAGCTACAGTCTGATGAAAAGAGCCATTTTCTCCATTATGTTTCGCAAATATTTTCATTCATATGAAGATACCTCCTTTAATAGTGTTGGCTGGAAGATACAATCAGTAAGAAGCCCTATAACTTTTTTCTCGGATTATATAGCCCTGAAGTTTCACGGAAGAAGAGCTTTTTTGCATTGTAGAGTATCACTTTATATACTCACTTTCCCAATTAGAATATGTTTGCTGCGGTGTCCAACTCTTCCTTCTCTTTCCTTAAGTTTCTTGTTTCACTGAAACCTGAACATGAACCTGCTCCTTAAGCTGACACCTGAGTTTATGACTTTCAGACTAAAAAGGTTAGCTAAAACAACCTCACAAAAAATCAAAAATGCATTTTCTTGCCTAAATACGATTGCTTAACCTTTCCAGGTTGGTTCTTGGTCAAAATCTGCAAAATCCGTGTAATACGGTGAGATTATACTACACCAACCTTCAGATTTTAAAAAGAGTTTTCAGGAAAAAAAGAAATCTCTCAAGGAGTGGATTTGCATTCCCTGGGAGTTACTAGATAAAATTAAATTATTTTCCAAACTGGTATTTGAAAATTTAGTGGCACGATCTTTGAATTCCTCTAGCATGTATACCCTCCCAGTCTGCGGTAGGGGAAATTTGCAGTTTTGGCTCCTCACTCTGATTTTGAAAAGTGTTCTAACTGGTTTTCCTGGGAAACATTTGTCCAGGGTTGTGTGGGGTGACTCCTGTTAGTGTCAGCGGGAACAGTACAGCCAAGATCCTACATGAAGCTTTCAAAATATATATATTCCAGTTCAATTATTCCAAGTCTGATTTCGATTCTCTTCATTGTATGTAGGCAATGAAGTTAATTGGATCCTTACGTGGTCATTTTAGTTTCGCATTTGTCATCTTCAGCCACTGGGAAGGGACAATTATTATTTTCACAAGCAATACTCTTAAGTGCATGCATCTTAGAACTTACAAGATTTATTTTCTGGTCTTTGCACAGCTGTTTGGATCTCAAGCTCTTATAAGAGGATTTTGAGTTTATGAAAGCAGTACAGGACTGATCTTGCAAACCTTGAACTGGCAAAACCCCCACTGAAGTCAGTGAAAGTGAAGATTGCAGGATTGGGACCTCAGTTCATATCCATTCATCACTTAGTGCAGAAAAAATAATGTGTTTATTTAACATTTACGGCATTGTGTGTAGATGGTTTCATTTTACATTGTCATGCATTGTTCCCATTTTGTCTTGCCTTATTAACATTCATATTTCATTCAAGTTCACCTCTTTCTCATCTTTATTACCAGCTACTGTAAATGCTACTACTCCTACACCACCCACTGTCACCACTAACATGCCTGATACTAATAGAAACGATAAGCCAAACAATGGTAAGAAATCCTGTGTTACATTTTTCCTTGTACTGTATCTAGAGCAAATGTATTGTATTTTAAGGTGTGTTTTTCATACTATCATATTGTCAGGGGTCGTGTCTCAGTTCTGATCTCATTTACACTGAAATAAATCAGGAGTAACTTCACTGGACCATGTAAGAATGGTGTAAATGAGAACAGAACCAAACTTGGTGTTTATTTGTATCATCTTTACCTGGCTCTTAGAAAGGGACTCACTTTGTGTAAGCCGTTGTATTTGCCCGTGCAAAGCATGAGGGAAGGGAGAGGGATTTTTAAAAAGGGACCAAAAAGAACCATGCTATTGAAATGTTTTAAGGCTGCAGATTATGAGGCATTTTGTAGCTCCAGCTTGTGCAGCCAGGGTGGTAGTATGCTGGGATTGTCTGTTCCTCACTAGTCAGGCGCAGGAGCCAAGTGGAATCGTTCCTATGGAGCAAAGCCACTTCCACTGAGTCAACAGGAATCTTTCCACTGACTTCAAGAGGAGCTGGATCAGACTTTACTAGGGAAAATGTTGACAGTATCAGATATCATTTACTTTTCATTTAGAAAGATTAAGGGAAAAAATAAGGTAGTAAACGAACCTATTATTAGCACAGGAAAAAAGCAGGGATTTCTTTTAAGGTTTTCTCAGATTCTATGATATCACTGTCTCCTAGAGACTGAGCAGATTTTGTGAGGTGCTGCTAAAATATTTATTAGTTTGTTAAAGATAGTTGTTAAACATTATTAAGAACACAGACATAGATTTCTGCAATTTTTGTCTGAAGTTTAAAGATTTTTTTGTAAAGATTTACTTTTTTCAGTGTGCTCCATGGAAATAAGTTAAAATCTGGGGCAGGTTTTGGGGGCGGGGTTTGTTTTTGTCTGTGTGTGTCATCCCCCCCCAAATGCATCAGTAGTTACTGTAGGATTTAAAATTCTTGGAGTACTTTTTCTCTTGGCAGGATGTTTCTTGTACATTGGCGATCAGGCAGTACAGTAGACAATGTGAAAGAATTTAGCTGAATTCAGCCTGTTTGGATTTACTAAGCTGTAGAAGTAAGGAGAAAATACTGGAAATTTCTTCCAAATTATGCCACTCACTCTATGTTCACCATGACCAGTTAAGTCTGATTTTTGCAACTACAGAAGGAACCGAATGCCTTATTAACGTTAGTATGAATAAAAACTGGACAATTAATTCCTTTCTTTGGCTTTGACACTCCCAAGAGAAAGTAGAAAGACTAAGAAAAAGAAGCCAAATTAATTTACAGTAGAAGTAAATTAAACTTTCACTCAGCTAACTGGCGTCATTTTCCACTCTTGGTAAGTTGATTTTTAGACCAAGAGCAGACAGCCAAGAACAGACGATTTAAGTTTCATATATTTTCTTTAATCCATTAACTATGTGGCTTACTACACACAGACCTGCAGGAATTCAAACTTCCTGCTGCAGTTATCTTCAGAATGAAGAGAAATTCACCTGAATCCTCCCATTCACGACCACAGAGGCAGCAAGAGTCTAAGATAGAAGGGGTCAAAAACATAGGAATTATCTCAACTCCAATTATTTGGCCAGTGAAACAAAGGCCTCTTCGTTTCAGTAAAAACTCAGCAGATGACAACCCAGAGAGAAAAACCATGTACAGCTTGTTTCTTCCAACTATGTCCACATCAGCTGCTTCTGAGGAGGCCAGCAACAATACCGTGGCGGCTTTTACAGAAAAAAATGACCTAGATAATACTGTGATGAATCAGTTACCAAAAGAAAATATCTGGAATTATTCTGGAAGTTCATTTCGTGACACTTCTGATGCTGTAGATGCTGTTACAGAGCCTTCTCTGAATGCAGCAGTTCCTCTTCTTCAAAGCAGAAGTCCTAACGCAGAGCTAGCACAGACTTTGGCAAATGGGCTAGATCATTCTAACTCTGAGTCAGCATTCCACTCTCCCGTTAGCAGCAGCAACACTGCTTATGAACACAAAAAAGAAACTCTGTGGATTTCATCCTCCAACAGTGGCACAACCAGTTTCATGCATATAAACAATGTCTTGGAGCCTGTGAGTTGGTGGAGTGAGACAGTATTTCATCATCATATCACCTCTGACATTCAAGAAAACAGACACCATTCTCTTTCTAGTTTGTCTGTATCACCTACAGAGGAGAAGTCGCTCCAAAAAAGTAGGCTGGATTTGCTAGACTTGTTAGATTTCACACCTGAAAATTTTTACCTGGAAATGATAGAAGGCAATGCTGATAGGAAAACTTTTTCTATGTTAGCAGCAAACAGTGAATTTCAGTTTAGGAAATCTACTCACATTAGGGAACATCGCTTAGGAGGCATTACAAATTTAACCTCTGTAGAGATTCCACATGCAAACCCAAAAACGCTTTTTCAAAACATGAAAAAAACATACACAAAATTTATGCCTGACATGCAACTGACAAATTCAGTCCTAGGACACAATGGAGAACTACTAACATTTTCAGCACTTCTGGCAGGAACAGGCTGGACAAGCTCAGCATTTAAGCATGTTGTAAGAACCCTGCCTGTTTATCAACAATTGTTGACTGACATGGATTTGGAAAGTGACAGGATATTTGTATCTAATAGCAATTACTGGTCTCATTATTTAAAACATTCAGTATATTTTCAAAAGCCAAGTGAGATCCTCAGAAATGGAGTACCGGAGAACAATTTAGGTACATTTCATGATAATAATGAAAATGAAGAGTCAGCTTTTTCCATATTAGAGCCAGGGAATGTGAATAGCTTTGGCAACTCCTGGGACTCAGGTTACTTGGATTTTCCAGCAAAATATTTAGATATTTCCCCTTCTTTAACAGCAAGTTTCTGGACTGTTTCCTATCATTTGAAAGAAGCATCTCAAGTGTTTTCTGGGGAGCCTTCAGAAAATTGGTGGCTCTCGTTTAATAAACTGCTTTCTTTCCCAACAGAGAGATTGCCATCCATTAGTTCACCTAAGTCTGACAGTATCTCTGAACAAACATCTGCCATTAGATTATTAAGTCACAGGGCTGAAGAAATTAACTTCTCTAGTCATGCATCAGCTTTGGAAACACAAATCTTTAGTTCATTTATTCCAGGCCTTTCAAAGAGAATTTCAGCAAATAGTGGCAGGACAATATCACAGTTACAGTCAACAATGGACTTGGCAAACCTAAATGTGTCTTACAACAACGAATTTTATTTTGATTTTCCTTTCCCTTCCCTGGAAGCACCTTTAAGTCAACCCTCTGTACGGGTACAGGTGAGTCCCTTTGATGAGGTACTTGAAAACTCCACAGAAAAATTAATTATATTTGATAGTTTGCACATGCAAATTGGAACTGACATATTAAGTGATCAAATGAACATGAGCTTCCTAAACAATAGGCGACAGCCTGTTTCTGTCTTTCCAACACATTCAGGAACCCAGCCTTCATGTTCAAGGGAGCGCCAAGCTGCTTTCTTGATCAATACACCAGTTAAGAGTTTCGTAAACAGTACAAGAACACATGAATCACCACAGGCTCAAAGTCTTTCAGCGAATGGTGCTGTAACAAATACTATTGATGAAGTGAGAAATAAAGTTCAAGTAGATGCAGATGTTTTTTTAAAAAGCATCAGTTCGATGAGTTCTGACTTCCTTCCAATGACATTGTCTTTGGAATTGAGGCACCTTCTTCGTTCAGACTCAAAATTCAGAGTCAGTGTACCTCCTAACACCTACTCCACACCTCCAATTGCACAAAATTTTCAGAACCATCTTGATACAAATTCACGAAGCCTGATCCCTCAGTGGGATGTAACAGAGTTAAGTTTGCAAACAACAGTAACACCAAGAAGTTATCTCACTGGTTTAGGACAAAATTCCATTGAGAATCAAGGGGACAATCTGAGATACTCTCTATGGTCAGAAGAACAAGAAATCACTGGTGATAGTGAAGACATAAGTAATCCTGCTGTTCTCACCTCAACAAACATATTGAGGGTTTCAGAATGGGATTTGGAAGGGGAGTTGCATGGATCCTTTAGCAAGCACAGAGAAGGAATGTCTTCTCTGAATATTGTTAGTACTCATGTCTTGGATTTTGAAAATGCTGATTATGGACTTTTTGCAAATCCTTCTATTTTGGAGTCATCAAGAACTGAAATAATGAGTGATGCAATGCTTTTGCCATCTTCATACAGTGGAGTTGTTATTCAGCACAAAGAGACCATCCTGAAGGGCACTCTGACAACACTTGCAGCAGCAATCCATCACTCTTCCGTGCAGTCTCAAATGCCAGTAACGTACCATCAGTCATCAGTTTCAGCACATGTTCATTCCTCCGCCAATTTACCATCTGAGACAAGCCAAAATATCACCTCTTCCCCACCACTGAATCAACTTGCTAGCTCTCCTGCAGTCTTTTTATCTTGTTTATGTTACTCCTTCACTGAGCTGGGCTGCCTGTGTCAACCTGAGGTCAACTACAGTATGTCAAGCTGTTAAGTTAGATGTAGAGAAACCCCAGAGCATCTTATCTATTAGATATTCAGTTGGTAGACTGAACATAGAAGTAGCTGCCTTTCATCCTTTAGCTATAGATCCATTTAGCATATGAAAAGACTTTGGAATAGTAACTTAATTACAGTAGAAGGGAATTTGTAACATCTTAGTCATAGTAAATGTCATTAACATGTAATTTTTAATTTTTGTGTACTTCTCTAAGACAGCTCTCATGAGACTGTGAGGATAATATATTGGGTTGCCATGCATTTTATATATTTTATGCCATTTTATTGTTTGAGATGGTATAAATGTTTTTCACTTAAAGCATTCATATATTTTTGAGGATTTAACTTTCAAAAAGCAAAGATTTTCCAAAAGAAACTTTTGGATAATTTCCCTAACAGAATTAAAACAAACCGAACCAATCCTAGTATTTCATTGATCATTATATTTTTGTAGTTGGTGGTGGGTGTAGGGAGAATTGTTTTTCCAAGTTCTTTTTTCCTCTTTTTTCAAATTATCTTTGGCTACTTTTCATCAATTTTCTGCCCATACAAATATTTTTTTTTATTCAGCATTTTGAAGTGGGATTTCCACTGTTTAATTTGGAAAGTGAGAAATCATTTTTAGTTCTCACTGTCTGCCACTGCAGTCTCCTGAGAGTGTTTAAAAATGTAGATTAGTTCTTTGTTCTTGTTCTTTTTTCACCTATAAAACATGCTTTGGTTCACCATCTGGTGGAGATCTTGAAGCTGTTGACTAGTTTGTAGTTTCTATGTTTGATTTAAAAATACTTTGCATATTCCTATATTAAGGTGATTTTGTCCGTATACATGGTTATAATTATATATATATTATATATGAATGTGTGAGAATATATATATAATGCACACTTTCTGTATGTGTATATCTGTATAGCAAATATAAAAGGTACATTATACATATAAAATTGAATATATGTATATACAGATATATATACATATAAATGAGATCCAGTCTTGCAAGTGTTTTCAACTTGCTCAAAGTCCAATTTTCTACTTCCAAAGACTTATTTTTCCTTTTTCTTACTTTGAAACTATCACAGTAATAATAACAAACTAAAGTACATTTTCAGATTAAACTGCACACCAGATTTGTGTGTCTGCTGAATTAAGAGAGGGAAAAAAGACAATAAATCAAAAAGCAAGTGAGCTCATTCTACTGATATCTAAAATTTAATCATAGCTTACCAAAGAAGGTAACTGGTAAACCATCTTCCTGCAAGAAATCAATTATTTAGTATTTTATCGCAGAGGAATTTTCATATTCAATCTCAGTGATCATGTGATCAATTCCATAATGAAAAGATGGAACAATACTCGAACCACCTCTTGAATAGGATAGTAACCCATATGCACAATTAAATCAGAAGATACTGACTTCAAATTTTTTTCCAAATATTTTTATTTCAAGCTCTTGTAAAATTATTATCTATGAATTTGTAAAATAATGAAATTTGCTCCACCTAGAATAAAAGATCTCTTGTTTAGACTCAGAAAGATAGAGTAGTTCCTTTACAATCAAGAGACAGAACGGGATTTCTATATCACTGTTGTCATTTGTCTCTGTAAGATTTACATAAGATTTATATAAATACATGTATCTGTGATCAAAACCCACAACTTCATTTGGTAACAGCCCTGAACCAAGCCGTGCCACATGAGTGCATACATGCCAGTGAATGGATTCAGGAGCTTTTAAACTTCCCCCACATCCTGGGAAATTTTGTCCAACTAGAGTGTACAGAATTTTTAGTAGCTTAATGAAAAAAAAATGACTTGTGAAAAGTATAGACTTATAACACAGAGCATAACTGTGATTTGATGACACTTACTAGATGTGAAATCTTATAACGTTCCCTACCAACTCATGAGCTTAAAGAGAATTTTTGTTTATCTGGTGCCATTTCAAAACCATTTTTCTGAATACAAAATTGCTCCAAGACAAGAGTTAGACATTTTGTGACAGAAAGATGGTTTGTTCAGCTGCCAGTTTTGTAAAGCTAATGTGGGTTCTTCTACTATCTGGCCATCGCCAGGCCTGAGAGCAAAGACTGCGCTGTGAAAAAAAGAGCTGGATATCTGTTCTCACACCTAATTCTGTCCTCAGTTATCTTGTTACTTTCAATTGATGAGACTTAACTGTTCTCACAAAGTTTTTAATCTAATCTGCAGTGGTTGAATTCTGGGTTATAACATATGACTGTGAGAAGAATTTATCCATGTTACAGACTTGAGTAATTATGATTATTTTTTAAATTCATTATACTTTTGTGATGTTGCTTTTACACACCCTGTTAAAGGCATATGCAAAATACTATTTATATGTACATTGTGAGTTTCCATGTCACATTTCAAGTGTCTCTAAAAATATGGAGGGTAAGGGAATTCTTGTCTGATTTGACAGGAGTAGTGAGAATGGGCCCAAGCCTGTGGGGCTTGTTCAATCCAAACTTGTGTAATGCCAACAAGAGCATGAGGTGTTTTTATATCTGGGGTTCAGCGCAATCTTTGTATTTTTCATGAAACTAAAGTCTCATTATTGAAATGGTAAATTTGCTCAGTTTCTAACACAGTAATGCTGTTTTTTAATGGACAGGTGGGCTATTCTACAGGATATCTATAACTGTCTTTAGTTCCAACTCCAACTCAGTGTCAAAAGTACATGATGTGGTTGCAGAATGGGTAAGTTAAGATTTCTTTCCTGTGTATTTACATGTATGAATCTGCCCCATTGATGTTATCAATCTGAAAAGGAAAAAAAAAGCAATACCAAATAAAGTCTTGAATTAATATGTGTTCTCTGAAGATCTTTCTATTATTGATTTGTGCAGTAATGAATTCAGGTCTAGCTGGGACTATTAGGCACTATGAATAAAACTTTGGAATGTCTCCACTATACTAGTCAGCTTCTTAAGAAATGTAGATCTTAGTTGAGATTTTGGAAAGTATGGAGAAAACAGAATTGTCCACTGAAGGAGGTAGATGTGTAAGTTCCAACATCACTGTGCAGAGCAAAATTTTTCTCCCCGAATACTAATGTGGTTTTGAAGTTTTATTGTGATAGAAATAATAAAAAACCAAGCAGTGTTAATTTGTGTGAGGCAATACACTTTTCCAGTTTACCATAATGTTCTCTACTTCAGAAGTCTTCTGCCATAGGTCAGTTATTGGGGTTTCTAGTAACCTCTGGTTTTTCAGCCCATTTTAGCAGACATGAGCTCCTTTCTGGGCCCTCCAGAGGGGGATTCTTGAAGTTCCTGCCTCTGAAATTTCCTCCTGTATGAATATAGATATTCTTTGTCCTTTTTGACAGTTCACATAATCTGTAAGTAGTCTTTATACCAACTACTTACATGAAAATATGATGTCATAAATATGTCAATTATTCTTTATTTTTCTTTTAATAAACCTCGAGGCTTTCAGAAGCTAAGAAAACCACCAATAGTCATCTACAAAACAGAAATGCAGCCATCCACACCTGCCAAGGTTGTTCTCTTAGCAGCAGTAGCCAGGCAAAGTATGTAGGTGCCTGAACCAAACAGTCTAGAAGTGTCACTTGGCTGTAGCAGAGTATGCAAAAGTGTCTCCCCAGGGAAAACTGAGCAGCCATTGCCCACTCAGAATAAATAGCGCAAAGGTCTGAGAAAAAGATCATCATAAGGCTGTAGACTTTTAGGTGAAAATTGACCCTGTAGTTTTGTCAGTAAATCTTTTCTAATTGAAGTGTTTCTGCAAATTTAAGATGAGGAAGAGAGGGAGAAATGGAACATTTGAGCGTCCTCTGCACTCACCTATTCACTGTGTCCCGACCTTATAGAGATTTCCTTCTGTCAGTAAAAAAGCTAACTCCCTCACTACCAGTTGTACATCCAATATAACAATCACCTCACTGAAATGGGAGAGTGTTCTCTTTGCTTTGAAAAACTGAAGGGGATTTCTCAAGGGAGAGAAGGGTCGAATTCTAACTCTGTCTTAAGCACAAAGAGCCCCATTAACATCTCACTGTTATGTGATCAATGTCTTCCTGTTTTTCAGCTAAACCGTACTTTCCAGAACTGGAATTACACTGTATATGTGGTCAATATCAGGTAAATGAAGGGGAAGGACGTTTATGTTGCATTCCTTTGGAGAATTAGCCCACCCTAATTAATGTTTGTTTCTTTTATAGTATCCACCCTGGCTCCATGAGAGAGGGAGTAAGAGAAAAAAGAAGTCTTAAAAGGTAACATTTTAAAAGAAATTTTCTTGATAGAGGCAATGACTGCTGTTACAAGTGGCTTTACAACAGGCTTTATGGTCTATTATTGGTTTCATTATTTGGCATATGCTGCCGGTCTGTAAATATATGACTGCTGGAAAGCTGAGTGCTCTGGATGGGCTCAGAATCCTAATACCGATTATCTTGTTTGTTTTGGTTTAAAACTGAGCTTTAAACTTTAAGAGATAATTTTTCAGAGCTCAGGTTTCATCTGTCACAAAACTGAATAGACATCTCATATATACGTGGTATGGCACACCCAGCTTTCTTTAGCAACAAGCTTTGCTACACTGGTATCTATCCATTATCACTGCATTTATTCTCTTGAGCCAGAGGCTTTTGAGTTAACAGACATCTTACTAGATGCAAAACACTGAAAAATCATGCTAGAATTGAAAGCCAAACTAGTGTGAGTTAAACTATTTACCATGTGCTCTCATTTCCTGACTTCTGCTGGGCTTGGAGGCACTGGAGTTGGGACAGCCTCAAAGGCAGACAAAGAAAGTTAGGTGGGTCACACCTTCTGAAAATTGGGCCTTGAGAGATTTCTTTGAAAGCAGCAGATATGTGGGAAGGGAGTGAATCTTGGGACCAAATAAAGGAGAGGAATCCAAAACATAATTAGTCTTGTGAGGAAGGGGCAACAGTTGATTATGGGATGTATCTGTTTGCAGTGTAGGCAGAAGTCCCATAGGAAAGGACTTTAACTGCTGACTCTTGAGAACTGCCATGGTAATAGCTCGGTTTTTTAATTTCAGAGGTAGTTCAGTATTCCCAGTTTACCAACAGGAAGTAGTTACTGATGCTTCCAGTTTTCTACAGAGTTTACCCAGACGTGAAAAGATTTGTAAAAGGTACTATCTCCTTCCCACACCCACAGCAGGAGCACAGCTTTTATTGGCAAAACCATTTAACTGGTATAGTCTCTGAATGGCCTATTTTGCTGCTTGACCTACATTTACAGTAGAATGTAGTGATGTGGGTGGGATTTTTTTTCACACTTTAAATGATATGGTTATGCCAGCAAAACCTTTTAAGTGGAGACCATGCCTCAGGTCTTACCAACAACCCAAGACCACTGAGGAATGTAAAGCTTGTGCTATCCTTATTCCTGTATCTTTTATAAGGCTAGCAGCCCAGCTTGTCAACATCTGTTCTCCCCCAGACTGCACACCTGATTTCTTCTTTCTTCTTTCTCACCTTCCCACTGTTCTGTCCTCTGGATTTTGTTTCTTCTTCCTGGTTTATTAAAAAAAAAAAAAAAAGGAACTGAAGAGGGAGAAATTATTCTAGTAATTGTTTCCTTTTCCCTTTCCCTTTCCCTTTCCCTTTCCCTTTCCCTTTTCCTTTCCCTTTCCTTTTCCCTTTCCTTTTCCCTTTCCCTGTCTTTGCCCTCTCTTTCTGACATACAGTGAATATGGCACTAAATTACTTCTAATTATCACTGTTATGGGGAAGCAACCAATTCCTATTTACTTTGCTTGTTGTATGTAATTTTAGAGGCAATGGAATTACATGTTAGTAATATGTTATAAAGTTTTTCAAGGGAGGCCTGGTCTAATGAGAAACTAGTCTTTACATGGGCCCTAGTGCACTTTGTGTCGAGGCCAAATGGCATTTTGTCGTCATTCTGAATAATTCAGCATAAATGCTAATCATGTCACGCAAAATGTTAACAGTCTTAGAAAAAAAAAAAAAGGTAAGTCAAAATTCCGCCCAATCTAGCAGCCCGGTTGGGGTAACACAGGGGTAATTCAAAACTTAACTGAGCTACGTCGTATGTGACTGACAAAAATTACACTTTTTACACTTTTATGTAGAAATATATATATACAGGATTTTCTGCTGTTTTTTTCATGTATTTTTCATGTCTTGCATGTATTTTCATGCATCATTTACCTCTTACAGGAGAAAATCTGGAAAAAGTTGTTGTTCTCCCACCTTTAGGTCTTCTGAGTATATGTCTGTTGTTGTACATTGTTTCCCTTCTGAAACAAGAAGGATCAGCTTCCCAGTAGTCTTCAGTGTTCCTGGGTTTAGTCACCAGGCTTCCAATTCTTTGAGGTTCAAACAGCTGTCTCTAGATTTTGAGAGGAAGAAATCTGTTGAATTCCTGACAATCCAGAATACAATATTTTTTTTTTTCTACTACTTCCTGATCGTTGCTTTCAAGATACTTTGTTAGGTTTTCCACTTTCTTGGATTTGTCCTGGGTAGGATTCTGAGGAAATCCTACAAGACACCAGAGTAACATTTTAGGGTATAAAAAATTAGCAGGTTACAGGTTTGAAGTTTTTAGTCCTTGGTCGAAGTAATGTTAATTTCTCACTACTCAGGTTATCCTCTGAAATGTTATGGCTGAGCTCTTGTATGTGACTTGCTCACAGTGTGATTTCATACAGTTTCTATTAATTGAATATCTCTGTATATTATTTCTGTGAATACTTGTCTAAGTATTTTCTTGTTTCTCCATTTTGACTAGTCAAGATTAAGTCTGTTTCAGTTTTAGACATTCCACTATTGCCCTTAGTTTTTAAGTACTTCTTATTTCATTTACCTTCATATTTGTCTGAACAGAATTTCACTCCACAGTTAAAATTTAAGACCTAGCCCATAAATTTCATGGCCTTAACTTTATCTTTTACAGAAGTGAACATATTAGTCTTCCTCTAACTCACTAAACCTCTCTTTTCTGAATTTTCTACAAGGTCAGGGCTTTCTTATTTCTAAGGCACTATTATAATTCTTTAAATTGCTCTTTGAGAAGTCTTCCCTCTCTCTAAATGAATTCATATTCTTATCATTCAGATCACATCTTTTTTCCTTACCTTTTGGATTAGTATTCTATAGAACAGTTATAAAAGACCAAACAAACAACAAAACAACCTTTCGCAGCCTTTTCTGTGCATTTTACTTTACTTCAACCCTTATTTACCTCACTGCTGCTTTGTCAAGGAACTTCTATTATCAGTCTACCCATCTAGTCTTCTTGCAAGTGAAAGAGGAAGAATCGTTAGAGAGAATGATTTGGAGAAGAAATAGAAGCTAGAAGTGGGAGGTAGGAGGCTGTCTTTTTTTGGCATGTTAAAAATAGGTGTTTTCCAAATAAATATTTTAAACTGTGTTGCATTCTGGTGAAGGGCAAAACAAAACAAAAATATGGAAATGGATTGTTATTCTTTCATTGCTGTGTTCTATGAGCTGCAGAAATCCAAAGTACACTGTGCTTATTATGCGTTTACGTACCTGGTGATGAGAGACAAACAGAGTGCCAAGTCCAAAAGTGCATGTTATTATCAGCACCTTTAATACTGTGAGATCTCTGGATGACAGAAGTATATTGAGCTAGTACTTTGGTAGATTATTAACTACTGAAATAGACAGAATTTTATCACAGCTATACTTGACTTTGTGTCTGGTTTAATTTTTTCCTCTGGTCATACTGTTTCTGTCTCTTAATGAGAGGGCAACTGTTCAAAATAAGGTAGACAGGAGTTCAGAATGTGCTATGGACATAGCTGTTTCTTTGTCCCAAATTATTTTGCACAAACCTTTGAAGTGAAGCCAATTTGTGGATTTATGTAGACAAATTAGAAATGTCTTTGTTTCTTTCATTAATTCTTTGCCTTTTATGACTCCGCAGCTTTGTCAAAACTTGCTGACTGCTACTGCTGCTTTTCTGAGAAGGGTCCTACTGATCCTAGGTCTTGTCAGATGACTATATAGAGCTGCCTCTAGGGAAATTGGACTTTATTGAGCAGCTCAGCTCCCCTGCTTCTCCTTTCTTCTTTTATTTTGCAAGCAATTTTGAGAATTCAGGCCCCAATTAATTTATTACCTTTTCTCCACAACATGCAAATAAAATTACAATTGCTCTAACTTCCACTGCTTGATTGTCATAATTTTGGCTTATTTCCTGTGTTCAATTGCTTCTACTGTGTGAAACAACATTAATGTTAGTACTGTTAAACAGCTAATCCAAATTAAAACCCAGAGTGGTAGCAATCTGTGTAAAGACCACTAAACTTAAAGATAAATCCACTGTCTTAGGAACGAAAATGGAGAGGAAAGCAGGAAATCAGAGCTACCCATGCCTAGTCCTGCTTTTTTGAAGTCTGTGGGAGTTTTGCCACCAGTGTCAGTGGGGCAGATTCAGGCTCCTGCATGCTGTGCTCTTGGGTGCTGTGTTGCTTAATGGAAAGTTTAATACACTTGGATAAAACTTAAGCTAATTAGATTGTGTAATAGTTTTAGACAGGAGTTAGCAACATCAGAGCAGCATAATTTTGCTTTTATAGTCCTAAGTATCTTTACCAAGTAAAGTATTAAGCTTTTGCATTCTTTGTAGATTACTTAAAATTATTTGTTATGAAAAATTGATGCTATTCTTGTTATAAATGAACACATCTGTGATGCCTGCTCCTAGTTTAAAAATGTTCCTGGTTTCTACTGGTGAAGTTTAGGAACAACTTGGATCTGGCCTACTTCTACTCCCCCTGACTTCAACTTCAGTGTTACTGAAGGCAGTAAGGGACAGCCTTGACCAGTGCTGAGCAACATTTTAAAATGCCACATAATGTGTACATTATGTGTAATATTTCTGCTTGAAAAACTGGCCAACAAAGAGCCAAGCAGAAATTTGCAGGTTTCTCCACAGTGTCCTGCTGGCATCTTGTGTCCATGACCTGTAAAGAAAGCCTTCATCACAGATGGAGAAATTTGGGAATTCCTCCTGAGTGCCTAAAGGATCATCCCTTCTTGGTCTTCTGCTGAAGCTGCCTGCTCTTGATCCAGCTTCAAATGACTCCCTTTGTCTTTTCATTGACTTTAACTGGTTTTAGTGTAGGTCTGACATTGTTAGGTGCCATTTTTATGAAGGTAATCTGTTGGGGGATGGGGGTTTTCTTTGTTGTTTTGGAACATAGTTCAAGCGTAACCAAAAACTCATTTCAGGGAAGACCAGCTGTTGAAATGTGGGGGATTCCAGCCCTTTCTGTTTTGCCTTTCTGCTACATTCTCCAGTAACAAATAGTAGTCATACCATCACATTATAAGTGCTTGCTGTTGAAAAGCTCTAGTTGTTTGTATTCCCACACCAGATCTGCAAGGAGGAGCAAAGCCTGGAGACACAAGGACAGGCATAGAGGCATGACTATGCTGCTTGCAGCACTGTTCTGACACAATGGACATTAACTTAAAAGGAAGGCTTAGAATGCTTTCATTTTTAGTAGTCCAAAAACTAGCTGCAATTTTTAGTTTTGTGTCCTGAAGTCTCAGATTTTATATTTTTTCTGTAACATCACCTTCTGCTGAGAAAGGAACCTCTTCATCCTTGGCATTACTTTGAATATTATGCCCAGCCCTAATATTTGCTCTCTGTTCTGAACATTTTAATGGTATCACAATCACCTCAGGTAAAAGTTTCTCTACGACTCAGATGTGTTTGTGGAATGCTTTTTATTTCCTTCTACTTTCATATTTCTTTCTGTCTCATTCTGTGTCTTTTCTAACATTTTGACTGCTGTTTGTATTACATCTTCACTTCTGCAGTAGTCAGCTTCTTTTTTGTCTATCCAGTTGATGTGAAGAGGTTAGTAGTGTTTACAGGTGACTATGTGGGCCTACCTGTACTGCTGGTCTTGAGTTATAGCTACCCATCGCTGCTTATCTTCAAGGCAACATAACAGCAAGATTGGTGAACAATTTAATGCTGACATCTTAAAACTTTTTTAAATATGCTCGGGTAGTTAGGAATGAAATTCCCAGTGACTTTTAGTGGAAACAAACTAACTACACAAGAAATTAATAGTGATTTGTTAAACAGTTTGACAACCAAAATAATTTGGTATGGTTCAGCCTGTCTAGTACAACTGAAACGAGAGGAGAAATATGCATTGCTAATTATCAACCACATATCTGCAGGTATGAGGCAGTCTGTGCTGCACAGTTCACATGGTTTGTTAATCCTTCCTTCAGGCTCCTCGCATCATGTAGCAGTGAGACCACAGCCCATGTGTAGGCACACTGTCCTGGAATAGCTCTGAGTCACGCTGCCGGAGAAGAAAGCCGGCTTTGTGGTACACGCCATGGCAGCGCAGGCGCACCCAACGCCTCCTGTGCCCCTGATGAGGATGCAGCTTCATAAACTGCTGTCTCTGAGCCAGCTTAGCTCAATGGACCAGGACAAAGTGCGATATAGGCTGGACTTCCCCTGCTTTCCTGCTTGCTCCAGCTGTCACCATTTCAGTCAAAGAGAAGAGAGCCATAAATATTTATCCCCATTGTGTTTACCTACGCCACAGTCCATTTTTTTATATTGACAGAAGTAATACTAGCAATACAGCTTACTGTAGGTAATGTCTAATTTGTAATTGATTACTGCTGTGAGAATCTATCTACTTTTATATGGCACACAATAAAAGGTGTAAGGTTGGGTGTAGCAAATCCGGTGACACTAGCAGAGCATGGTACTGTTGCCATTTATTGGAGTGCAGGCCTACTGTTTCCCAAATTGAGAATTTTGTTTTTCACCATTAAAATGTTCTCTTTCTGAGATACGAGTGTGACAAAAGTGGAAGGAAGCACTCAGCTTCATATTACATCAGCTGACAAGTTAAAAGATATTTATTTACTTTGGGAAGCTAGCATGAGTCATTTTGAAAAGTTTGTAGAAATTGTTCTCAACATAATGTAGAACAGGCTCTTATTACACAGTTTACATGATTTGTGCTGTAAGATTCTCAGAAAACAAACAACAAAGTGATTTAACAGATTATTTTTATCAGTGCTTCATAATCAATGCTTTTCTCTGTAACTGTTCAAGATGACTATAACATTCTACCTCATCGTCCTTTCTGTTTTGTTGCCATTGCCACTCCGCACAGTTATGGATACTAGATATCATTTTAGTTAGTTGGGAGTCCTGCAATAGGCAGCATGGCAGTAGCAGTGGCTGTTCACTTACGACTTCTGTTTTGCAGCCAAATTGCTGAGGTAGGGAGTGGCATCAGTATATTAAGTTTTCCTCTTCTGAAGTAAAGGGAATAGATGAGTGAAGCCAGAATCTTTTAGGAAAGATGGTTAAATGCCAGGAGACTCTGGGGCTGAAGTGCTGGAGGGCTGAAGGATTTGGCAATCCCATAGGCAATTTCCATGCTTCTGCTAAAAATAAACGCCATAATAAACTTGTGCCTCATAATGTATCTGAGGTATACAGCAAAAGCCTGCTAATGTACATCCACCCTGCTGAGGTTGTTGCCATATGTTAAACACTCCACAGAGACCAAAGGAACGTTAGGAAGAACTCAGTGTCTCAGGGAGCAGAGCAGGAGCGACCAGGCCAGGGATAGCTGGAATTCCTCTGCTAAAATACACCCAATGGGGAAAAAACAAGCCAAGCCAGCAGGTAGTCACATTTTTATCTTCTTCTCCAGCAACATGTGACCAGTAAACAACAGATATGACAACAAAAAAAGTGTACTGGTGTTCAACAAAAAAATCAACAAAAAAACCCCACTGACCAGGGACTGTGTATATTTATTTACTTATTTCTTTGCGTCTGCAAGGGAAATGTGTGGAGAATTTAGTTCACATTCATGATTTCTTTGTGAGGTTTGGCCTTTGCTTTTCTTTTTTTCTTTTTTTTTCCTAGACTGAGAGGTTGTTTTCTAATGCCAGGTCTTTAATGACATTCTACTAATAAGAATACTTCAGAATTATTGGTTGGAGTTACTCAGTCTTCAGAATTATGTCTGACAGAAAGAGGGTTAAATCTGCCATCTAAGAGCAACATCTGTACACTAAGCTGTAGTTTTATACTGTCCCAGACTAGGCACCTCTGGAAAGTGCAACTCTGAGCTGTCGTCATGGGGATGTCTTTCTGGAAGGTTTTTGGAAATGGAGTCCTGGTCTGTCTAGGAAGGGGTACGTGAAAACCCTACTAGCCCTCTCCCATACAGCACCCCTACAGATTTTTTTCTCTTACTCTTCTTCAAGTAGACCACAAGACCCTTTAGCTCACTGCTGCTTCCTTGCACGGGGGGGGCCACCAGTGAAAGCAGCTCTGTTCAAGTGTGTGCCCTGCTCACTGTATGTGTGCTGGCAGTGCTGCCACTTCCCAGGCTGCCAGGAACGGCTCACACACCACGAAGGTCTGTCTTTATTCAAGCTGTTGGGTATCCAAGGGCAAGACTAAGATGAAGACAGCCCAAAGCAGGCTTGCTTTTTCCTTTTTTCCACATTTTGGCTCCCATGGAGATCCAATGTTCCATGCTTCAGTGGCGTCACCTTCTACTAGCCAGAGCCAAGCAATGCTCTTGGGTACCAACATATACTCTTCTCCAACATGTGTTTTCTATGTCCCAGGAGGAAATTTTTGAGCCTTCCATGCTGGACTTCTTTCCTCTGTGCTGATAGAATTGCTTTTCTGTTCATCATTTCCCTTCCAGAAAAGCTATGTTTTTGGACAAGGGTGGGGACTGTTTTATTTCTCTCACAGGAAAGAGACTTGGGCACTTTGAACTACTTCTTATGCCCAAGAAAGTAGCAGTGGGCTACAGTACAAAACAGCTATTACTGCTCAAACTTGAATTACTCATCTGAGCAACTAGACTTTCCTAATTAGGACTAGAAGTTTCAGAAGTGTGTCAGGGTGTTTTTCACTCCATCAACATTTAGACATTTAAATGTTAGGCATCTGTTCTTTGTTAATCTTCTAGTCTTCCTCTGTAGTCAGTGGAGAGATAGACCCTCTGGAGGATGACTTGTCCCATCCTGATGAGTTTTGTAAGGTGGGAGGAATTGGCTCTTAGGTTCCTAAGCTATCAGCAACCAGATTTTTAAATTTAATTAGGGCCTGTTTAGAACTCACAACTCACAACTTTATACTTTTAAAATAATCTAAATCTTGTGAAAACCTTTGTCAGCTCTTTTGATGGTAGCTAAAGGATGAAATTTCCCAACCATGTTTTCTTGCCATGACTCTATATATACAATATTAATAATTCATACATAATGAGCAACATTATCTTGTTCCATACTCAGAAAACCAGAGTTTGTCAGATATTTTTATTTCCACACATTTGGCCTCTGCTGTTCTGACTCAAATACTCGGATAATTTTCCTTGCAGGTTTGAGGTTTTGGCTCTTCTGGTTTATAATGCTACCAACAACATCAATTTAGAAGAGGACGACATCCGACAGAAGCTCATAAATAATAATGGGACCATGGAAGGAGGATATAAGCTTCATGATGTGGTTGTTGCTCCAGTGGGTAAGTAGTTTTCAGCTTTGCTACACAAAAGATTTTGTTTACTTGTCGATAAATAAATATTTTCTGTGTTAAAATAGTCATACATTTCTAAATGGTGTGGCTGTTTCAGATTTTAAATTGTCTGTTTAAGCCTCATTGTTCCACTAATCTCAGGCAGCTGTGCCCAAAGTAATCAAACACAGTTGTCCAGATTGCTTCAGTCAGTGTTTTGCTGTCTGGTTCAAAGAGGCTGGGACAGTTTCTGACAGATCCTCTGAAGAGGTATGATTTACAGCCAGAGCTATAATAAGATATTTTGGACCTCCAAGGCCCCTCATGCCCTCCCCTCAACCCTGTTGTTTGTGCTCCTAACAGCTGCTGCCCCTAATCAATCTCCTTTTAGCTCCCATCTTTTCCCATTCAACTTCTTCCAGTCAGAGGTTGCCCTGCCCTTGGGAGGGAGGAAATAGAAGCTGGTGGAGTGCAAGTGGGTGCAGCAGGCATGTTCAATCCTTTCCCTTCAGCAACAGCAGTATATCTTGTCCCCTGTTGTGCACCCCTCCATTGCGACTACTCTATAGATAACAACCAAGTATTTCATCTGAAGACAGCTTTGTGCTGTAGGCTGGTTGTTCAGCTGAGGACAAGAAATGGAAGATGGTTAGATGAAGAAATTTACCATTAACACTGATATACTTTTATTTTTACAGAAAAATGTTTAGCTGAAGAAAACCCTCCAAACTATTTTTGGCCAGATACCAGACCAACTGTGACCAACTTCACATTATGCCATGGGAGCTCAGTTCAGACTGCGTCAAGAACCTGGTAGGTGTTCAAATATCTGAGAAGCTGAGAGCTTCAAATGCAACTGCCTGGTTATGTAGTTAAACTGCATCCATAATGGTTGCCATTGGCTGGTATTGAATTTCAGGAAGATGATTTCTATACTGTGAGAAATTATATGTGTGCATTAAGAGTATGTACTTCAGCGGTAAGAAAAAAAGGCTCATCTACCATTCTGCAGGGCATATTGAGGCCCACAATTAATACATGTTCAAAGTGACTATAAAAATAGCGCCTTCTTAAAGAATGAAACTGCTTTCTTCAAGTCATTGTGTTTATGTTACCAAAACCAAAGTTTCACATTTGCTGCCACTCTGCTACTACTATCTGACTTGTATAAGAAAGTCTTAACAAAATTCTATGAAGATGAGATATGTATTTGGTTTAATCCAGAACTTCTCATCTCATTAATGGAAAGTAAAAGAAATTCTGTGAAATAAACATTTTGCCCGTAGTTAATCATCATTGAAGGTGGTGGTAATCTTATGCTTAAAGATTTAAACTTGTGGTTTTAGGGTTTAGGATAAATTTTCCCTAATGTAGGCTTTCTTTGTGAACATCTACAAAATATTTAGACACTGTATCTCCGTTTCCCATTTGTAAAATTGGAATATTACTACTTCCTTTGGTATATTACCAAAACAATATGGCTTTGATCTCCTTTGAGTGCCTTGAACATGGCTATGATGATGCAATATTAATTAATTTCTTCAGTATTTAGGATGGTCACCATTAAATGCAATATGGTAGTTTTATCTGCCCACATTGCATCTGGAACATGTTCTGAGAAGACCAGATCTTTTACTTTTTGAAAACAATATGGCAACATGGATATGAATCAGCTTTGATGTTCTGTGCCAAACAGGAAAACAACCAGCATTATATTTAACTAACTCACTTCCTTAGCCTCTTAATCTTGTAAAAGAACTGCTGGATTCTGATTGACCAGCTTTTGTTGTAGAGCGAGTAGTGCAGAAGTCAAATTGGATTTTATGTCGGAGCCTCAGAATCATTAAAAATTAAGGCTTCTGGCCTTTGCTGCCCCAGTTTTGCTTATCTTTACTATTCATTTGTGATCTACACAATACTATTTATTGTCCTTGTACAGCACTTCTCATTAAAAAATTACTGTATTTTGCACTATGCTATGCTTTCCTTGCCTCTGCCTCCACTAGCTTTTGCCAGTATGAAGCACGTGTGGGATGTGTTCTGAGAGGAGACTCTTCTAATGGTTTCTTCTAGTCCTGTGCACCCCACAGTAGAAGGTTACCTGCTCGTGTGCTGTTGTCATAAAGGTGATCAACTGAGGAATAACTTTATTATATCATGTGTTGAGTGAAATAATAACTTTTTCCCATTCTCCATCCTGCCTTTGCCATGCTATGATAACATGATCGTCTTTAAAGAAAACTGTGGAAAAAGTGTGTTTCATTTTTGAGCCGTATCTGGGTATTTTGCTATGGTATGGCTTTTTAAAAAAGCATTTTGAAAAAAATAATCTTTGTATCTGCCCCTCACCTTGGACCTGGATCTGATGGTGACCTGCCCCAGTTTTTTTGGGCGGCATAATTTTATATCTCCACATAGCTCCTGTGCATGTTCTTCTGCGAGGTATTATGACCTGCTATTGACTTGATCAAAGCCGTTTAGAGAAATTATTGAAATAGCATATGATTAGGCCATAATACGGGCATAATAGTTTGTGTCAACATTTGGATCTTTCCTGAAATACAAGGCCAGAATTTCCACTGATGCAGTTTATCAAATCAGTATAGGAATCAGCTGGGAATTTGTCCAAAAGAACTAGGGTTTCTCTCAGCACTGTCACTTAGCTGATCACCTATTTCCACTGTCAAGCATACATATTTGATTTCACTAGGGTCCATGTTGCTAGGAAAACTGAATTGAGAAGAGTGGACCACTGTGACACCTAGAAAAGAGTTATGAAACATTTACGTAATTTTTGCTATTGTATTTCATGTGAATTTTGTCATTTTTCCTCTTTAGCTATTTGGGTCTGCAGAATTATACATCATACTGGGGCCAGCCTGATCTTAGAAACTGCACAGGTGGGTATATTGATGTTGGTCTTTGGCTAAAGAGATAGTTTTGTAGACTTTAGCTACTCCTTACTGTAAAGAAGTTGCATTAAAGAAGAATATCTTCTTCCTTTATGCTAAGTTGTTTTAAATCTTTCTAAAAAATCGGTTCAAAATAACTATATTAATGCTGGAGAAGTGCACCAATTTGAATTCAGCCCACTCATGAAAAGCTCTGGATACCAATTAATGAAATAAATCAAACTCTTCAGTTAATTTAAGCAAGAATAGAGGCAGGTGGTAGCTTGCCTCAATCTGATATTCAGGTTCAGACAAATTTTTTAATGTTTCCAGTGCCTGTAGGTGCCAGTGGAAAGACTCCCACTCTCTTCACTGGGCTTACGATCAGACATTTTCAGATTTATTCTCAGTTTGCAAAATACCTCTTGATGTCATTCTGGCCTTAAAGGAGTAATAAAATAAATAGACAACAATTTTATGGTCCCTTTTTTAGTGCCAGAGCTAGTGAAGAGAATGATACTCTCATAAGTAATTCAGAGCACCTACAGTAAGCTCCTGTTCTGAATTGCTTTCTTGGAGGAGCCTCTTTCTTTCTCCACAGATAGAGATGTCCTAGGGAGCCTGGCTACCTAACTTAGTTCATTGAGTACTTGCAGTCAGGCTATATGAAACCATCGTTTCATGTAAAATGAACATTCTGCAGTAAATGTAGCAAAAGCTGTATCATAAAACACAACATTAAAAAACCACAGCCAGGTGTAGACCAAAGAAGGCTGATCGACTTCCAAAATCTTATTTGTGAATTCCAATAAAACTCAAATATTTTGATACTGTAAAATGTTAGTGTTTACATTAGTTTTCTATCCAAGTGGCATCAAACTTTCAGTTTAACATGTGATTTACACTAACACTTTGCCATTGGACACACTATTAAACTTTCATTACGAGAAAGATTCTTCTCGTGAAATTTGCTTGTGTGTTGTGCTTGCCACTTCGCTGAGTAAAAGTACTATCCACTGAAGGAACTGAAACATTTGCAGTGGGGTCAAACTTTCTCCCCAAAGCTGAAAGGAGTGAATACTGTCACTAATAGTGACTTTGGATGCATTTGTTTCACTTCAAGAGTGAAACTTTTTCCCAGTGAAAAAGAAAGGATAGCCTAAGGAGAAGAAAACACGCTTTTTATTCCTACTTCCCCTTTATTTCTTTCAATCAGTGCTTTCAATAATATTTCTGATTTACAAACTCAAATCAAGTTAAGGAAAAGAAAGACACAGCCAATGAGCACAGTATATAATAATCAGCAGGTTCTATATACTTTTTCATAAAACTATAAAATTGTTAAAATGATAACATCTTGTGTTCATTACAAGTACCACAGAACATGCTGTCGTTTTCAACGAGGATAAAAGTTTGTATTTCTGAATTACTTCAGGACTGTTATGTATTATTTTATACTTCAGGACTGTTATGTATTATTTTATCTTTTTCCTTCATTTTACATGTACACTTACAGAAAACGCAGCTGATATAGCCAATCAGCTTCTCAATCTCACCGGTGAAGGGCAGCAGCTAACCTCAGACAAAGTAAATGATGTTGTGCAAAAGCTCAAAAAAATTGTGAACGATGAAGAAATTGATGAATCTCTGGGTTCTACTGTGGTGACAATTTTTTCCAATATTCTAACCAGTTCAGACAGTGTATTGGCAGCATCATCTTCAGAGTAAGTATTTCTGCATTTGAGTCAAGCTTTTAAGAGCAACCTGTAAGGTTGGAAGAATTCATCCTTGCATATATATACAAGCAATTTCAGTACAAAAATCAAACTTTTCTGATTTCCATCAAAAAGAATTTTCCAAATTAGATATGCAATATTTCTTCTTGTACTAAAATTGACGTGCATGACAAAGATAAAGTATTTGGATGGAAAAGAAGTCTCCTGATACATGACACAGCATAAATCTAAGTATTGTTGGAAAATTATTTCAGGACCAGAGATATGTGGTCAGACAGTTTCTTTCAATCAAAACCTTTTGTTTTCAGCAGAGGTGCATAAATTTACAGCCTGACAGTCTCCTTGTGAATACATAGATGAGTGATAGAAACATAGTCAATAATAAGAGGATCATCTCAAACATGGAGAGCATACAGAACATAGTATTTTTTTTTCTGTATTCAGTTTTTAGAATAATTTTATTTCTCGTTTTAGAGCTCTCAAAACTATTGATGCCTTGGCTTTAAAGATCCAGTTCACTGGACCATCCATGAGTATTTCAACACGAAACCTTGCACTTGGAGTGTCGTCTGTAAACTCAACTTCATTCAAAGGTGGTTCTTTCAGTGTCAGTCCACAGAATAACGCATCTGATTTCCAGGTACGGAACAAGCAGTTATATTTGAATGTGAAATGTCCCTATTGTTCCAAATGTGTTTACTGTGGTTCCTATAAACCCACTTACAACTCTCAGTTCTTCCCCTACTTTGTATTTCCTTTTTCCTCTAAGCATCAAACAGATTAATGTAGTATTTCCTTGGGTGACAGGAAACCTTATGTGTTCCATAGGGATGAAAAGTAATTTGCTTACAAATCTAGAACAGACTTTATTCTTTTTAGGATTGTTTTTGCAGATACAACCTTCCATTATTGTTTAAACACCTACTGTGAACAGAGACCTAAGGCAGATCCAGTTGTCCACACATAGGTTGGTAAGCTTGTGCCATTTGGGATGTCCGAGGAGGTTCAAGACATACATGTGGATCTTGACCAGCCTAGGCATGAAAAAGAAAAGAAACACAGATCACTCAAAATGCAGAATGGTCTCCAGTGCTACAGTATCTAGACAGGCTGCCATAGTTAAGATACTTGTCATCACCTCAAAAATATTTTTTCTTCTTTTTTCACAAATAGAAAAGCTCAGACATCTAGAAGCTATGAAATAGCATTTGAGATGCACATTAGCACCTATTGGGATTTTACAAAGGTTCTGTTGCAGCAGCAATGAGGTGCTGAGACTTTAAATCTCACTATACACCTGTCTGCATCTTATGGCACCTAAATGCTTTTAAAAATGTAGTGCAATGTATTTTTTTCACAGCCATATAAGAAGTCTGTGACAGAGATAATGTATCTAACCATTGGGTTATGGTTATCTATCTAACCATGGGAATCTAACCATTTGAATAGAGCGAGCTTTACTTGGAGAAACACACAGAAAAGGTTAAACAGAAAAATAAAAAAATCTACTCTCATTTGGGCCAGAGGAACCAAAACTGAATTCAGATAAAACATGGCATTATGGAAACAGTTACAGACTAATCACTAGGGTATAAGCATCTTATGGAACCAAATTAATTCCCACTGCAAATTCGCAAGACAACAATCCTAATAAATGTCTAATAATTTTATAAAGTACTATGTACTGAAAAATCAGAAACAGTAATGACGACAGTGCTAGAAAAAGCAGTAGTAATATAATAGGCTGCAGGCCTTTTATGTGCTGTGTATATAGACTTTGGATCAAAACTCAAATGCTGGTTTAAATATACAAATGGATTTAATGTAATTGAATTTTTACATATTTATATTTGTAGACATTTTGGCTATAATTTCTTTGAATCCATTTTATTAGAAATTTTTGATGATTGTAAATCTACTTTTGTTTAGCTCTCTTATTAATGAAGCTTAATAGCTGATTGTTCTTTGATTGTTATCAAAGGAACATTTCTCCTCCAGATTTCATCCTGTATTTATGGAAAGAGGAAAGGAAAAATTCTGAAGCCAGGTTTGGGATATTCGCATGTATAATAAGAATTACCATCTGTGGCTTGAGGACATCCAGGAATTTTCTTGCCCTGGAATCATTTATTACAGCACTGTCTAAATAATCATAAAATACAGACTCCGTCAAATTATTTGTAATGTTCCTATTGGAACATGGGTTTGTTCTCAGACTTTCACATTTCCAACAGCTGATTGAGAATTCTTAGCATCCTTCCTACCAGAAAAGTCTGCAGCAACTGTGGTCACCATTTATGTTTTCCATGCCTATCAGGAAAGATACTTACTATCCCTGCTGGAGGGATATTCCCTTATGAAAGCCCAGGTTTTTCACCAGTGATGTGATGATCTATCCCAGGCCCGTCAGGGAGCATTAAACTCTTCAGGCTGTGTGTCTGAATGTTTCCAGATTTTATTTCTTTTTTTTTTTCTTAAAGTAGATATCAAGCAAATGTATCCATGGCTATTTGGAAAGATTCTATTTGAGTCCTCTCTATCTTTATATTTCTTGCCAAACCTTTGACTAAATTAGCTTTTGATGATTCATACTATTAAATTGTTCCTGTAATATATCCGTACTTCTTTATAGAATCCCCTTCCACTCTATTTGCAGACAATACCTAATGGGACATCTTTATCACACACACACTTTTTGTTTGATGTGGCAGAATTATCCTTTGAAAACCTTTTATTCAACTGTATTTAGCCTTGTTAGGAGATATCTATGAACTGCTTCTTACTAATTTCCAAGGGTGCTGTTACAGTAAATCAGTGAAAATTTTGAAGTTAAATAAATCTATCAGTAGCCTATGGCTTTTAACTTTCTATTAGCTAATGCTGTTTTTAGAATCATACAACTGATCATGAGAGGCATAAATACATGACTAAATTGCCTCTGCAGAAGTCAGGAATGTGAGTTTCTGCATCTCGCAGTAAAATTCTTGAAAGCTTTTACTATAGAGCCAGTGTGAGAAGGCTTGCTCCCCTTCCTTTGATGGGTAGGGTGGCACAGCTTGAGTATGCCATGGTGGTAACATGTACAGTCATAGTGTTGCTGCCTGATAGCTAATGAAATGCAAGTTTGCATCCTCATTTATTTCCTGCTCAGTTATTACATCCCTGTGCCATAGAGGGCTTTCAGCTGTCTGACACGTTGCCAGTGTAGATTAAGCTTTTATTGATGGCAGAAAATGTCTTTTTTGTGCTACATAGCATGATAAATATAGAGAGGTGACACTAATGATTATTTTAAAATCTCCCTTGTGTAACAGAGAAACTGGAAAAGCTCATAGAGAATTAATTCAGATGTGCAGATCAAGCCAAATTATACAACTCAAGAAAGAAGGATTCAGAGCATGTTTTTCAGTTCTCAGCATTGTTTGGTATGAGGAAAAGTATCTTGAAGGTTACTGAAAATTATTACCACTACCGTTACTGCCATTGCATTATTTCAAAATCATCATTATAGCAGTGGAGGAGTTTGGGGATTTGTTTATTTTATGTAATACCTTTTTGTAGCAGAAGGCTGATCTCATGCTGGAAGAGTGGGAAAACCTCTTAAGTCTTTTTTTTAATTTATTTATTGCATCAACTCTTGCAGAGATACAGTTCATATTAGTATTAATTTCTTCTAGATCCATGTTTAGATATCTTTGTGTAAGTGTGTGAACCCAGTTGTGGGCAATGGATGATTTGTTTTTTTGTCTGAACATGTTCTTCTGTTGTTTTTATTTAACAGATAGATTTTGACAAGGATCAGACAAATGCCTTTGCTTCTGTCATCCTGCCACCAAGTTTACTGAAGAATTTAAGTCAAGATGAGTTTGAAGTTATATCCAGGGCTCAGTTTACTTTCTTCAACAAAAATGGTCTTTTTCAGGTAAACTTTAATGTGTTTGAAATCATTTCCGTTAGGGTCAGTCAAAGCCAGCTGCTAAAAGTTTCCTGTAGCGTAACCATTTCACAGCATCTCATGAGTTATAGGAATGAGAAGGTGATAGCAGATGTAGGCACTAGAGACAGTGTTATGTTTAGAGTGATAAAATAGTTGAAGTGCCCAAGTTGCATTAAAGTCAGCGATTTGACTGCAAATTCCTGTCACATGTGAGAGAAACTTCTTCTCAGGGTAGTCTATGCAAAACTGTATCACAGCTGCTTATAATCAGAGTAAAGTAGCAAGGCCTCTTAAAGAGCATAACTTCTGTTAAAATGCATTAATATAGGTCCTTGATGTTCAGTGGAGCCAGATTCTTTTCTATCAGAAGGGAATCTGGCCTATAGTGCTGCCATGTACTCTTTCTTTCTCTTTTCCTTAAAAGAGTTGGTTGGCACTCATCCAGCTGACTGCTTGTATTCAGTTGGAAACCCTTGGCTGATGGTCATCAGCCAGACAACATTTGATTCTATACATACTATTCTTCTTTTCATGTATGTTTTCTCATAAACACACTGTGCAATAAGGATAACAATGCTTGTACCTGAAAACGAAAGGGACTCAGGTGGATTTGATTTTTTCTCCCTTGTGTCCCATCACATGGTAATTATTAATAGTTCCTGTATGGTAGATGCCAAAAAAATTAGGAAGAGTTCGCCACTTGAAAAAAACAACCAAAACCATACCTATATTGGAAAAAAAAAAAAAAAAAAGGAGTTAATTAAAAAGGAAACATTGTTTCATAGTGAACTGTAGACTGAGTCTCAGAAGGCTGGAGTTTGTTTTCCCATTAGTATTTCAAATGACCTTTGGCTCTTTTGCATCCGCAGAACTCTGTAGTATTGTATTGTCTCTATATTATCGTTTTTATTGGCAGTATATCCAGATTCTTCAGATAATCTAGGCAAGAAAATACCCATGACCCTCAGTTGCCTTCTGAAATACACCCTAAAGTATCTTTAACTATTTAAAATACAATTAATTTTAAGCCTGCTTTTGAGAAAAACAGGATAGATCTATTTAATAAAGAAACCAGAAGAATACAGAAGTAGGCTTGTCATAATAGAATAAAATCCTATAAAGTCAGACTGTGTCCTTTAATGGTGCTAGAATGTGTTTCTAAGGGATACTTAATAAGTCATTGAAAAGCAAAAATCAGGAAAATTTGCATCTAAATTTGCAACTAAAATTCCTTTAATTTTTTGGTGTGTTTTTCAAACTATTCATGGGTGACATGTTCAACACAATTAATTAAAAATGTGTGAAACTCACATTTTAGTAAGTCTAAAAATAAAGTCAGTCTTAAAAAAGTAAATAAATAAAGGCTAAAAATAAAGCCTGAAAATAAATGAATCCACAGGCCATCTCAAACTCGATAACTTTATCCATTAGTATAAAAGTATTTCATAAATATATTTATTCCAATTGTGATTTAAAAAAAATCCCAAAGCTATTAGCTGTATTTTTAATAAGCTTTCAAAATAACAATGAAACATCCTACTTTATAGAACCGAAGGATTTTTTTATTGCAACTGAGAGAATACTAGGAAGTTTTATCTTGTCATTTATTAAAATCTGATGGTTACATTACTTAGAAGACTATACAAAAATTTGGTATTCAGGGTGGGATTCATTTCACCAAAGGCAAGTGTATTCAATGTACATACCTATGCCTGAAATAATTCTTCTCAGGATAACGTGCACTTTGCTGAAGGTATTCTGTCTCTCATGAGTGGTGGGATCTTACAAGCCCAGTGCTGAGCCTGACATCTTGTCAGGCTAACAAAACCCCTAGATTGAAGGAATTGGGCGGGGGGGGCATTCAGGAATTCAGCAGCCCAGATTTTTGGAGGGAAAGTGAGTGGCAACAGCCTCCATTTGACCTAAGATCTGCCACAGGCAGTCACCAAGCTTCCCAGCTTCCCATAAGGCCAACCAGACATGTAACTATGCAGGTTTCAATAGAAGCTCATCAAAAGAAAATAGTATTTCCAAGGCACTTCCATTTTACTAAATCATCAGCTTCCAAGGAAAACATCTCTTTTGGAAAATTCTCAACCTGGTACTTTTTTGCTGCAGGTTAGAAATGGTATTGCTCAATGATAACATCGGTCTTCTATTTGAATTCCCATCAAATAACACCTTGTTGAAAATATTATCTCCTACACTATGTAGCATTGCTTTGAATTTGTTTACTATTTCTTAGTCATTCATTGTAAGATGGAGGATGATTTAGCAACTATAGACAGAAAACGGGTTATTCTCCAAAAACTTTGCGTCTGCTAAAAAGTACAGCGTCAACAATGAGATAAGAAAGCTAGTTGATTCTTGTTTGGGGAAATGAGCTAATCATATCATGGGTTGTTATCTGCTACATTGTTTGAGTTACAATTTTGTTGGCATCAGACATAACGATTAAAAGAGGAATTTATGCCTTCTAAGCTGTCTTCATAATTGTGCATATATATGTTTATGACTATAAGGAAAATGGGGAAACTTCCATAATTTGATTTTATAAACATAATGTTCTTATATTGCATGATCAAAAGTGTAGAAATGCTGACAATTTATTTGTTCTGGCAAGCTGCAAAAATGAAACCGTATACTCTGGCTTTTATGTTACATGCTGTGTAAGCATTTATTATATTTTTTTTAATCTTTCAAAGGATGCAGAAAATCCTGCCAATTTGACCAGTTTTGTGGTGGCATGCAGTATTGGAAACATAACCATTCAGGATCTTCAGGATTTTGTGAAGATTACAATTAAACATACCAAAATTCAGGTAAAACAAGACTGATTATTCAGAGGAACAGGAATGGAGATTATATACAGTAAAGGCTAAGCATGTAGCCTGATTGATTTGGATGGATTTTGAGTAAGAATATGAACTCAAATGAAAATAAAAACTCTAGAACAAAAGCAAGTAAGCAAAAAGTAAAAACAAATAACCTCTCCCATACTCACACATTCCTTCTCCATTCATGATCTGACATTTGTCTGGAAGACTATTGATTCTGCCACTCAGAGGCAATTTCTATGCCAATAACTGTAGGCAAAACCTCTGTTCATGACCATGTTTGTGACCAGTGACACGACTTACTAAACTGGAACTTTAGAATGGCTTAAATTCTTTGATCAAACATGAATTGCTTTTTAATAGTTCCCCAAGTTATTTTGTTCTGTGGTTTTCAGCAAAGGAGGAATGGACAGAACCATGTTGCTAAAAGCTGACTACAATTGATTTAGGGAGGTACAGACCAAATGCAACCTTTTGGCACATAGTGTTTCAGTTAAAAAACATGTGAGCTTGACTCTGTTCTCAGACATGTTGTCAGTAGCTACTCCAAAAGAGACAATAGCACTGAGAAGTTAAGAAAGAAGATGTTAAAATGCAATACCTCAGTAAATTGTTTATGTAATGAGAACCTGGTTTGTAATTCATTTCATTATAAAGATTATTTTAAGGTCAGGCAAAACAACCTCCACTTAGGGTCAGCAGGCTTTTGCATATTTTCAAGGCCAGTTTCGTAGAGGATTCACTGAGAAATCCTAAGAAGGTGAACAGTAGAAAGTATTTAGACTCTGTAAAGACATCGTACTCATGGATAACTTTAGTGAGACAATAAAACTTCATTATTCTGAGGATCTGGAAAAGGAATAGTGCAGAGGAACAGTGCTCTAGATCTGTCTTTCTAGCAGAATAAGCTCTAATTTGACACTAGGCAAAATTTCAACAATCCAAATGATATTTATTCTTCTGCTCTTTAAATGAAAAGTTGTGTAGTAAAACATCTGTTATAAATGTATATGTTGATGAGATTTATGTCTGAAAAGGTATACAAAGTCTACTTTTGCATGTGTTCTTAGGAAGATCCTAAGCCTACCTGTGTCTTCTGGGATATGAACAAAAATGGTAAGTTTAAAAATACTGTAATCTCTTTTGTGTGGGGAATAAAGGTACGTAAGTTTAAAAATTGGTCACAGTCTTGGCCATTTTTCTTCTTAAATAATCGTTGCAGAACTAGGTGAAGCCTTTAGACTGTATCATTTCTTCTGATTAGCACAGTTGCTTGTAACAGCAGATGTTAAGCATTCTTTTTTAAAGGTTTTTTAATGTAAATTCGTTTAACATTTTAAATTTGTAAATTAAGTTTCTCTGCTGTATCTGATAGCAGATTTTCATTGATTTGTCTGTGTGTGCAAATTAAATAGTAATACTCCTCAGACACATGAATAGTTCTTAGCCATACTTTTAACCAGTCATTTTTAAAATGTTGGGTTATTTAATTGTGAAATTGTGCCATTATGAGTCTTAAGCTGGTTTTTCTTCTGCAAAAGGTTAGGAGCTACATTACACAAACTTCATCCACCTTGTAAATGGATGAGTCAGCATGATGAGGTCCCATATGAAGACACACATTAACAAGGCAGCATTTTAGCCCATTCTTCATAGAATCATAGAATAGTTTGGGTTG